CCCCCCGTGTGACTGTGTCTACACTGAAGCTCTGACCCCCCCCGTGTGACTGTGTCTACACTGAAGCCCTGAGCCCCACCCCCTGTGTGACTGTGTCTACACTGAAGCCCTGACGTCCCCCGTGACTGTGTCTACACTGAAGCCCTGACTCCCCCGTGTGACTGTGTCTACACTGAAGCCCTGATCCCCCCGTGTGACTGTGTCTACACTGAAGCCCTGACCCCCACCCCCTGTGTGACTGTGTCTACACTGAAGCCCTGACCCCCCCGTATGACTGTGTCTACACTGAAGCCCTGGCCCCCCATGTGACTGTGTTTAGAGATGGGGTTTTACGGAGGTAATGAATGTAAAATGGGGTCACTATGGTGGACCCTAATCTCATCTGACTGGTGTCCTTATAAGAAGAGGGGATTAGGACACTGACGCACACAGAGGGACAAACCTGTGAGGACACAGGGAGAAGACAGCATCTGCAAGCCAAAGAGAGAGGCCCCTGAGGAATCGGCCCTCATGGCACCCTGAACCGAGACTTCCAGCCTCCCAGATGTGAGAGAACCAGTGTCTGCTATGTAAGCCACCCAGTTGTGGCATTTTGCAATGGCAGCCCAAGGAGACCAGGACAGTGTGCGGCCGCTAACCTGGCTCCTTCACCACATAGTCCCCTGTGGGGGATAAAGTATGTTCAGTGTAGGACTCTGTAGGGCTGTAGGGCCTCACAGGGTCATGGGGTGTCCCTTATGCTGTGCTGAAGTGCAGGATCCGAGAAGCAAAGAGACAGGACACTGAAGAACTGGTGAAGAGCATCTGGACTCGTGGGGGCCACGCAACCTATGAGTGGAGATCAGCGGGGGCCCCAAATGCCCAGAAGCATCTGTATTTATTAGGTACAAGCAAGGAGAAGGGTCGTGAGTGAGGCCATTGTCTATAGGCTTAACGATAGGGCATACATAATCACTGAGTTACAAGCAAGGGGGCCACCCCATTATGTCACCTGGGCCGAGAGGTGGGCCGTGTGCAGTAGGGGTCTGTGCCATGCGCAGTAGTAGAGGGTCGTGTACAGAAAAGGGGTCCACCCCCATTAGGTCACCGAGGTAAGGAGGTGGGCTGTGTGCAACAGGTGTCGTGCGCAACACTTCTTATCTGGGGGCTGGAGACTTCAAAGGGTTTCTAATAGAAGGATACTGTAAGCCAATGCAGTGGGAGCTGACAGACTTGTGCTCTTCTCTTAAGTTATTTATGGGAGGATGATTTGTGCTAGCACAGAAGTGAGAAAAGACGACAGGGTGTACAGCCGCCGTGACTGCTCACACCAGAGGGATTCTTCTCCCTCGGTTACTTCCCGGATCTCAGGCCTGAGGCCTACTTTCCACAGGAACTGGATGCAAGGTGCTACAACTCCTTTATCAGGAGGAGAGGCTCTTGCTCCAAGCCTGCCATACAGCGTATGCCCTTTCAGGCAGGGATGCCACCGCCTGGGTCTCTGGTTCTCGTTCTGGTCTGGCTGTTTTCCCATGTACTGCTTCTGTTCTGTGACTGCTCTAGGCATTTCTCCTACTACAGACTACTATATGGTTATATGGAAGGATTCTATAAATCAGCACTAAATGTGTCAGTACAGCTCCGACTACAATACCTATATGATCATATAGAAAGATTATATGGAACTAAGTATGTTAGATATAGGTATAAAATATGATTATATAAGCTAGACATAGCGAGCAGTAAGTTATACTTCAGATACTAATTCCATAAACTAATATATGATTATATATAAAGGATTATATAAAAGAAATAGCTGAGTAGTAACACTATAAACTAAGACATTCCTCAGGTACTAGTTGTATTGGGGTCTGGACAGTTCTCCTTCCTCGGTGCCCGGGGGGGTGTTACCCACAGACTCATAACTCTTGCTGGTGCTTGTCAACTAGCCACGGGCCCATGTGGTGGATGCTCTGGAAACGGGCTTGTAGCTCTGCTGGAAGCCCACCCTCCATGGGCTGGGGCTGAGGAGTTCTTAGGCACACTTCTTCCTAGAGAGCTGGCGACTGCAGGGGCGAGGCTGGTGCGGATGTTGGAGGAGATGCTCTGGGGGATTGTTGCGCCCACCAGTGCTTTAGCCACGGCTCTGCTCCAGCTAAGCCTCAAAGGCTGGATCTCTGGAGACAAGCAAAGAGGCCACTGTAAGATTTCAACACTTTGCCCCTGATTTTGAAAAGGAAGGATGGAAAATTTCTGAGAATCCTGGTTGTGCCCTTTACTCAGTCTTCTTCGGAGCTCTCAGGATGGCTGGCTGTGGTGCCATGATTTCAAATGTATACTAGCTCAGTCAGTCCGTGAAACTGCTCATCATGCCATAGACAAGCTGATTAATATCTCCAGTCAACACTGGTGGGAGACTTAACAAAGACTGTTGAGGTTCTCTGAAGGCCAGGTGTCTGTCAACAGCACAAGCCTGACATGGCGTGAAGGCAAGGCATGGCTCCAGAGCGAAGCCACAAGGGCCCTCTGAATGCCCTCAGGTGGATTTTAACCAACGCCCACCCTGGGACTGGAAATGCCTTAGTCATTGTGTATCTGTTTTCAGGATGGGTTGAAGCATTTCCTTGTTTAAGAGCTACAGTCCTTAAAGTTACTAAAAAATTCCTTGATCTTGTATTTCCAACGTGAAGCACACCAACTTTTACATTAAGTGATCGAGGACCACATTTTACAAAAACCATTATAACAGAGCTCTGTAAGTGGTTACCCCTTACTCAATAACAACACGGTGCTGACCACCCACAAGCTTCTGAAAAAATTGAAGGACCAACAGATCAAAACCTTTGGAACCCCTTGAGCTTCTTCGGCCACAGAGTCTGCTCCCTTGGAGACACCTCAGCTGCCCCTCCATGGACTGGTGACTGGGGCTCATGCCTCTGGGACTCCTGATGCTAGACTGCGCCCTGCTGCCGGCAGGGATGGCGAATGACTATGAGGGACTCCTCACAGCCTGCCTGTCACCAGCAGGTCATGGCTGCTTCCCACGACAACTTCCCAAACACCCTGCTCATGACCTGCAACCAGGAGATGTTGTCTATTGGAAGAGACATCAGAAAAAGTCTCTTTCTCTTACTTCATTGAAAGGGGCCTTACCAGGTATTGCTAACAAATCCAGCAGTGAAACTCCAGGAGTCAGTCCTTGATTTCACATTTCACAGCCAAAGTGGCGACCAAAAATTCCACACAATGAGCAAACTACTCCAACAGGGGACCCCAAACTGAGGTTTCTCTGAGACCTTCTAGAGGCTGATCCGAGACCTTCCTGCAAGCCGATGATCTTGGAGAAGGGACAGTTTCTGCTAAGATGTCCTAACAAGATCTCTGTCGGATTTGTTTCACTTTTCATCTGCTTACAGATAATCTTTCTCCCTCTCATGCTCCACGGACCCCTGGTTGTCATCCACCTCTGGTGATGGTCCCTTTTCTATTTTCTTTTCACTTTATGATAAGTGTTAGGTGAGCACACATTCATTCTAATGTCATTAGATTATCCGGAACAGTAACCACTGCCCTCACTCTCAGTGACAACTGGACACACCGCCCATCCCGGGAGCCGGGGTTAAGAATCTCCAGATACGCCGGTTTCATTGAATGCAGCCCTAGGGAATGACAGCTGATGGTCTTTCTGCTTGCGTCTACATGGACAACTAACTCTAAACAAATCGCCTGTGACTTTACTAGTGTCCCTTTCTCCTAGAGAAACAACCAATTATTAACGTCTACTGCTCAGTCCCAGGTCATTCTAAACTTAAATTCAGCAACCTGCACGGAGCAATGGGCCATGAAACACCAGCCACGTGGACGAAACTAATACAGGTCCCAGCGGCAGCTGTCGGCACAGGCCGCAGTTCTAGCCTCTCCAGATGAGCGACAGCCCTCCCCAGGTTCCATACACCTCCACCAGACACTGCTTCCTTATGGCCAGTCCCCAGGCCCTGCTGGCCTCAGATGAATACCTCAGGTACCTTAGGAATAGCTTCGGAGACTTCTCTGTGTCTAAAGATCCTAATTCTATTAATCTCCACGGCTGGAAATTCTGACTCAAATTTGAGTCCGAACACGAGACCTCTTGTGATTATTTGTGTACTCTGTGGAAGGGACGATTGAGCATTCCCCACAGTGGGCATCGCACGGGCAGAAACTACGGTCAGAAACCCACTGCCAACTCTGGCAGAAGGTACTCGGGACACCACCTGCCCTGGGTGGGAGGCGTGTTGGCACGAGCGGTGGTGGGCAACTGCGTTTCTCCAGGTTTCTCATTGGCCAGCCACACTGGTGTTTGTGCCACTGCACATGTTTCTTGCAGAGCGAAGTCCCAGGAGCCGGCTGCCCAGCACCCCAGGGAGCTGCTACGAGGCTCTCTGAGGCTGGCCCTCATGGCCATGGGCTGTGTCCTCTTGCCTAGGGCTGGGTAACTGCGCCCTCGGTTTTACCACCGTCTGGGGACCGGGTTATTCTTGTCTCTGTTATGGTGTATGATGCTGGCCTGCCACATTCCATCCGTCTCCCATCAGACGATGGCCAGGATGACTCAGCAGCAGAAAGATCCAGAGGACCCCGCAGTGCAGCTGACCAAGAGGGCAACTGAACCATCACCAAGCAGCGTGACCTGGCTCTCCAGCCCTTTCTGAACTGGCTATCCTCTTGCAAACAAGAGAGTAGCTAACAGGGGAAACTAAGAAACAACCTACAGACAGTGGCCAGGCCACCTATGATAGGGGACACTGGCCCCAATGTCTGCAGCGTCCAGCCCTGGAGGCCAGGCCACAGCCTCCGCTGCACTCGGCCCTGAACAACCAGCTTCCCTCATGTGCACCCTAGTTCCAACTCAGGACCCACTGGAAAGGCCCCACACACTCCTCCACCAGCCACACGGATGCCCGCTTCTACCCCCACTGCCTCCCGGGTGCAGCCCTCCTCTCCCACTCCAAAGCTCCCCCTCCTTGCCTGCCTTCGAGTCTCTGCCAAGCACAGATGGCACCAAATCATAAACAACCTCTGAGAATTATCCTTCTTGGAGGGGTCTTTATTTCCACAAAGTGCCCCTCACTACTTAATGGTAACCCCTCAAAGACACTAAATGTATCTCTAACTAACTTCCAGCAATTTCAAGAAAACTAGAAACACATAAAGACATTAAAATGTAACTTGATGGCAGCATACACAGAAGTGCTGCTCGCGCGTGCATACACACACACACACACACACACACACACACACACACTCTCTCTCTCTCTCTCTCTCTCACTCTCTAATACCACCAGCACGAATGGCCTCCACCTTCACCGTCCACGCCTAAGCCGGGCTACATCAGCTTTCCCAGGGGAGCCTGGCGGCATGGTGGCGTGTGGCTGCGGACCAGGGTTGTGCCAGCCAGGGCTTTGTCGAGAGCCATGTGGCAGAGCCAACTGGGGGCTAGGATGTTGGTGTGGCCCGCCGCCCACGGCTGTGTGCCCCAGGGGAAGGGCGGGGTGTTGTGAGGCTGTGCTCGGTGCCCCAGGGCAGGGTCTGAGGAAGCTGAGGGAGGTGGACTCAAGGTGCATGAGCTGGGAGTAGCTGGCTTCAGAAGGACGGAGGGACACTGGCCTCTGACTGGGTGAACCAGAGCTGGGGAGAGGCCCTGGGAGGCAAAGGAGGTGACTGTAGTTATGGGGCCACCTGGGTGATCCCCTAGTCCAAGTGCAGGGAAGAGGGACCCAGGGAGCTGGCTGAGACCAGGCTGGTGGAGGTTACTGGGGGTGCAGGTTACCTCCTCAAACTTGTACGCAATCATGGCAAAGGCCTTGAAGATGGCGTCTGTCGGGCCTGTGATGGTCACAATCCTCTCTGGGCAGTTTCCCTCTGAGATGTTGATCCTGGCACCACTCTAGGGTGAGAGCAGAGAAACCCTAGCAACCAATTAAAGCCCTTCGGCCAGGGGGCCTGGGGCCACAAGTCTGATGATAATTGATACAAACACATGCCTTTGTCCCTTAACTGGCAAACCACCACTGAACAGTAAACCCTTCTCAACAATCTCCTTTACAGTGAAACTTTAATGAGCAAAAGGAATCCAAGGATCCCTTCCCTCAGGGAAGCACAGGAGGCCTGAGTAGGGGAAAGAGACCCTCCCCGCCCGCCCAGAAGCGGCTGCGAACTGATAGAGACCCACCACACTCACCTCCTCACGCATCTTCTTCACAGTTTCTCCTTTCTGGAATAAACATTTAGACAATAAGGAAAAGGCATCACTTGTAGCTCTGCTGAGGGCATGCACGGGCTCGAGGCACACGGGGCAGCCTCTGCACCTCTGGCTCTCAGGACAGCATGGCCCAGGGTGGGTGGGTAGCGGCCTGCCCCATGTGCCCACACAGCCGAGCCTCCTCCTTGGAGACCAGGCTCCATGCCCACCACACCCTAGTGAGCATTTGGATGGGAAACTGAGGCACAGGAAGGCAAGTGCACCCACCCAAGGGCACATGGCTGGGAAGGGTGGGGTGGGCCCAACTGGGCTCCCACAGCAGCTAACTCATGGCACAGGGCAGTGTGCATGCCCTCAGGTGCCCTGCATGGCTGGCTGCACTCTGGCTTGCCGTCCTCCCCTCCAGAGGTGGTGGCTCTCAGAGACGTGCTCGCTCAAGCACTCGTGAGGAAGCCGGGACGATGAGCTATGACAGAGGGGAAGGACACAGGTCCCTGGAGGTGGTGAAAATGCCATGAAGACGGGCCTGCTCAGCCTCACGATGCAGCTGCCACACTGGGCCTTACTTCCCCGGCCAGCCCTGATCTGGAAGGGAAGTGTCGAGTGCTGCTGCCTCTGCCAGCACTCCTGGAGACTGCCCAGATGACACGGCCAGCTGAAGAAGGTGTGGGAAATCCTTCTTTGTGGGGTCTTCAACAGGGAAAGAAGGGCTGGCCACCAAGGCCACGGGCAGGGGCAGCCAGGCGACCAGGCCCTTCCCCTCGGCCTCACAGAGCCAGGGACAAGCTCTGCCGTCACGTGGCATAAAGGCAGCACCCCTGGGGTCCTGACTTCATGGAACACACCACCCATCTACCAGGAAAGGTGCACCTACTGGGTGCCACCTAGCACCCAGGTGGCTGCTGTCCTCACCATCCCCTTACAGAGACCCCCAAGAGAGGCAGAGATTCAGTAGATAATTACCTTCCCGATGATGCTTCCAACTTCCTGCAGGAAAAGAATCACAGAAACACGGTGTCATAGAGCAGGAGGAGAAAAACAGGGGAGGCAGAGACTGCTGAAACCAGGCTACCTTCCTGGTGTGAGTGAAGAGGGACTTTCCTGGTGTGAGTGAAGAGGGGACCCTCCCGGTGTGAGTGAAGAGGGACCTTCCTGGTGTGAGTGAAAAGGGACCTTACTTCCTGGTGTGAGTGAAGAGGGACTTTCCTGGTATGAGTGAAGAGGGGACCCTCCCGGTGTGAGTGAAGAGGGACCTTCCTAGTGTGAGTGAAGAGGGACCTTCCTTCCTGGTGTGAGTGAAGAGGGACCTTCCCGGTGTGAGTGAAAAGGGACCCTCCCAGTGTGAGTGAAGAGGGACC